CTCTACCAATTCTTTCATAGACTTCCCCAGCTCTTCAGCCAACAGTTCCAAGCCACTCGTATCTGTAATTAGCCGGGCCTCCTCATTAGACTCTATGTTATAAATGTACTCTTAAGCAGTACATAAACTATAAACGTACTCTTAATAGTACGAGGAACTTAAGTTTTCTAAATGGTTCTCAATGGTTTTATTAATTAATACCTTTTCCATTTTACATATCAGATATTTGGAGGAGGCCATTAAAAGGCCCCAGTAAAATACCAAGCATAAGAGTTGGTCTAGTTCTATTAATAGAACTATATTTACTTTCCAACTTTATTTATATCTGAATATTTTGGCAGACGCCAGCTAACTTGGCACTGCTAGCCGTAGACCAGCATAACTCTGACGGATCGTTTAAAAAAGTCAGAGTATGTTTAGATATGAGTTCGATAAATAAATTATTGCCGACTCATAGCTTTCACTTACCTCGTATTAACGAGCTACTGCGAAGGATGGAATGTGCTACAGTATTTACAACTATAGACCTTACACAAGGATGCCATCAAATGCAGGTATATGAACCACATCGTAAATACTTTAGTTTTACGTGGAAAGGTAAACAATACAGGCTCAGAGGTGCACCTTTCGGGTTACACTCTTTACCAGCATTCTTCCAACAAGTAATGGAGGAAATTTTTGCAGACATGCCTAACGTGCAAGTATATATAGATGACATAGTCATCCTTTCCAAAACTAATGGCGAACACGCCGCATTAGTCAGACGAGTCCTTAAGAGACTCAACGAGCAAAACTTCAAGATTAACGAGAAGAAATGTCACTTCGCCATGAGCGAAATATAGCTCTTAGGCTACCGAATATCTGGGGAAGGTATCAATATCGACCTGTAAGATTCTGTCTAATAAAGGCGATACTAATGCCTTAGAATAAATAAACGCGTAGGCAAATTCTATATCGTGTAAATATCGATATAAATAAACGAAATGAGACGTTTAATAAAGTTAGGTTTGCCTCGTGAAAACAGCAATACTCTGAGGGATTGTGAGGCTGAGACATTGCCTATATATAATCCTCTCAGTACTGTTTCCGCCGAAGGGATTTTATTTGGTGTTTCGTTATCGCTCTATTCTGGGGCGAATCCGAGAGACTCATAAAATCCTATCTTTAGAAAAAAGAAATAAAAATAAAAATATTCTTGATGTCTTTAGTTATTGTCTTAACCAATAACTTGCCACTATCAAGAATTACCGACTTAGCCTTCATCAGACTGGCACATCTGGTTGGCTTATCAGAGGATCAACTAGGTAGCGCTAATAGTCCCTAGAAACCTATATTCGGTTGAGCCATCTCGCTACCGAAGTATTCAAATATAAATAAAATTGAAAAGTAAATAAAGCTCTATTAATAGAACTAGACCAACTCTTTTATGTTTGGTATTTTACTGAGGCCTTTTAATGGCCTCATCTAAATATCTGATATGTTAAATGGAAAAGGTTGAATTAATAAAGGAAAACTAATAAGTTTGAAAAGTTCGAAGTTGTATTGTGCGGTTTGTTGGCGAACGGCCGTGTAGGCTCGAAAGAAGAGGATGTTGGTGTATGGTTGGTGCTTTGCGAACCGAAGTGCGGCGTAATATGAGCTGGAGGTTGGCAGATGACGATATATGTTGTATGGATTTGTAGGCTCGAAATTGAGTAGATAAACGATTTGATTGGCGGCAGGATTCTCAAGGAAATCCTTCGGAGATAGTATAAATACGTGGTTTAGTTCATTCAATAAGTTCATTCTGCTAAGGTAGACGTTTATTCAACTATTGAGGAAATAAAACTTGGTTCACCGTTACATTGTGTTTTGAGTCGATCTAAGATTACAGGCTATTGCCTATTTATTTAAGTGTTTGATTTCAGAAAGCTATAAATTTGTATAATTTTTTTTAAACAAATTACAAAGAAGAAAAGAAAAAGGCGCCTTTTTAACTCTTTGGTTCAAATAGATTTCCAATGATGTTCAAATATTTGTGAACTCCCCCCGGCCGGCGACCCGACCCCCCTCACCCCAATATCTGTCTTGTTGCCTAAAATTTTGCAAACATATCACAGAGCAGGATATTTATTTTGCAAAACAAAACCCCCCCCCCAAAAAAGCCAAACGGATTCTGTCTTTTTAAAAAATAATAATAAGTGGTCCATGAGAGAGCTGGTACAAATTATTTATTCGGATTTCAGGGTACTTACATAAATATATAAATATATTTTAAATCCTTGTACCTTGGAGCTTGCAGCTGGGGTCTTTAAACGAGCCTTCTTTTCAGACATAGCCCATAGCCTTCGAAATTCAAACTTCTATTCTTCATTCTGTGGATTTATGCGCGCCGCTCGGCGCCCGACCGCCTGTCCAACCACCGGTGTCTGACTGTCCTCAGGGCTCAGACCCAGGGCCCAGGACCGACCCCAGGCCCCAGGGCCCAGGGCCCAGGGCCACAGGCAAGCTGTACATTGTAGCTGTGCGTATGCGCGGTGTAAATTTTGATTCGTAGTTGGATACTTAACAACAACTACAACAACACAGATGAACAAATTGATGACGGGGTAATTAGTATGTACAGGATACTATGAGGACCAATGGAACACAACCTTTACAGCAGATCTTCTTATGTAGAGGGCTATGTGCGCCCGCACAGGCTACACGGAGAGTCAGTTTTGTTTTCTGCGACAGATCTATATATTTAGACAAATCATGACAAACGAGCATCGTGGGAGATGAATGTTTTATTTAGTATAAAGGCGGTACTAGTTAGGCCTGATAGTTGAAGACGCTCCCAGTAGGAGAGACAATATAAGAAAGGTAGAGTGAGGTATGCCGAACATCAACTACCGAGCTGTGCCCATCCCCCTGCGGGGAGTAATGTTCACACAAGTTATTACCACTTTCGCTTCAGTACACGGTAAACACACACACCGCCACCCCCACACACGCGTCCCCTCCCCGCTCAACACACGAACAGAAACACATACACACCTACACACGCACCCTCTCACACACATATACACATACACGCACAAACACACACACATACACATACACGCACAAACACACACACATACACATACACGCACAAACCCACACACATAGACACACACACACGTACATATATATGTACAGACACAGACACAGACACAAACACACACACACGCACGTGCACACACACATGTACACGCACACACACGCACATGTACACACAAAGTAAC